ACACGTGTTTTTGAATAATGCAGCGTTTCTTATCTCGTCCGAGAGTAAATTCTGCCTAAAAGTTTCCATAGTCAATACCCCCGATGAAGTCTACTTCGATAGTGAATCACGTCGAATTGACGGAATTATCCTTTACCTATCGCGATGTAAAACTAATAGACACGCGAGCGAATATAAATTGTTGAAATAGAAATGTATAGGTACCTCGCCCACATAGCTGAATCGATTATTTCGGCAAGATAACACGTGCTGAAAAGCAACAGAAAAAGAGAAACCTGCTTATTTGAAGGAATGTACACATTTTCACTCGTTTCTAGAAATGCGAAACAGATATCTTAATGACGATTCCTGAAATTCTGCGTTATTAGGTGGAGAAGTAAAAGCCCTAGTGGTGTAAGTCAAATTTTTTAAAATATTAGACTTACATCACTATGGCTTTTACCCTTCCATGTATAAACAAGATTTTGTTGAACAATATGTCACGTCTTCAAAAATGTATTTATTCGTTTTAACCTACTACATAATAATCAATTCGATTGTTCTCGCTTACTCATATGCGCCTAGCATAATTGATTTCCATTGAAACAAATCACAATAGGTATCTCGGACACCATTGTCGCGCAAACGAGTTTCTAAAGCGACGAAATGCAGCGGCGAGCAGCCACGCGGCTCATCTCTCGCATAAAATATTCGCGGCTGATTATTTCGCGACAACGAATTTCGACGATTTAGGCGATCGCATTGTTTACCATTCCATTCACGCCAGTGTGTTAAATAATTCATTAATGCCGATATAATTTACGGTCGTTATCTGAAACAGCAAAACATTAACATCGAATTTGCTATAATCCAATTTCCATTATTAAATGCGTAGTCAGATATTTCCATTAACGATTTTCGGAAAAAACTTGGAAATTATTGACGCGCCTAACTTTAATTAAGTCAATCGCAGGAAAGGCCTAAGTATCGATTTATAAGATAATATTACCATAAATATATCTTTTTATACGCATCGAATAATTAAAAACATTAAATTCGGTTATTTATGTGTTTATTCATGTTAACTAATTGCTAAGTAATTAATCAGATAAATTATATATCATAACATAATAATTCTGAAAATAGGATAATAATGACAAATAATCACAAATCACATGAATTTGTCAAAGTTAAATTAGTAAGACTTTACTCTCACAAATTCAGTAGCAATAATTAATGTAATTAAATCGAAAGGCTCTTTTTGTAAAAAAACAGCAAATTTTCTTGTTAAAAAATTCGATTATTTTGCATTGTGAATGAATAGTCCAAGTTTATTTATAACAGAAGAAAATACAATCAAATTATTGGTTACTTTTAAAAGAATGTTCACACGTATAAAATACAGCAAAATTATTATATAGAAATAATGATGCATTTATAGCATAATAATTTCTATTACACTTTTACTATAACGATAATAATTCCCTTATCGTGTACAACAATTTTCATGCATATCAAGCGACTCTCTAGCAGCTATTTAGGTCGATTCACCTTCCATTTATGAAATATAGCTATCCAAATGTGCGCGACGGATTACGGAGTGACTTCACCGCGCGAATCCCCGCTCCGGACGCCTTTTTCGGTCGTTAAAAGAAACGAAAGTGACGGGCCATTATCCCGTTTCCCCACAAAAACGATCCGCTTTCGTCCCCAGCTACGAGCCGCGGCCCTCGCCGGTCATTTATCTCGATAATGACAGTTCGGAACAATTTCTATATTAGAGGGCCTCATTAGAGCGCCGCGCCAGCTTGTAATTTACCTCGTCGACATTTTTACGTCCGCAAATGCACGAATTAAAACGCGATGGCGAACGTGTTTCTACACTCGTCGCGCCTTAGCACTCAGCTCTTTGCTTAATCGCGAATATCATTTAAAAAAAAAAAAGATTCTAATTGTTGGCAGGTGTCTTGAACAAAGACAAAGCGAAACGATTGTCGAAGCAGTTCTCTGCTAACAGTAGATTTCGTATCATGAAAAAGGATTATCTCTCAAACCTCAATTATCATCAGAAACGTTTATAAATTTTCTATTCTTAGCGATATAGTGTGATAATTTAATAAAGCTAATTTTTTTGTGTATTAATAGTATCTCAAACAAGTAAAAGCTTAATCAAATTATATTCAAACGTATCATAATTGTTACATAATTACTTTATCATCAATATTCGCACTAATTATTACGCAGTAGCGCCTCAACGAGATATTATCGGTGCAATATTATTCGTGTTAAAATTTTTGCGATAACATCGAACGAGAGACCATATACAGTTCACGTTGACAATTGTCGGTTCGCAGGTAATCATAGTCCAAGTTTCAACGTGCGTCATCGTCGCTTCCGGAATTAATACTTAAACGCGAGAAACGCCAAGCGGGAAACTTTCCGCGCAATTCACGCACCTCCGTCGAGGAGGTTGTCGCCGTATTTTATTTCCCGGCACCAAGACACGTCCCATTCGTTTCTCAAGAATTTTGCTGGCTAAGAATCAACTTATAAGCGTCTGAAAAATTCACTTTCGCATTGATACTTCGATGGTTCATTAAACAAAAATTATAAGCGCCGCGTGCGCGCCGATAATTGAAAAATATTCACCTAAATGAAAAAAAAGTTTAGAAACTGAGGGGAAAATATAAGACTTCTTTTATATTTCAGGATAGATTATTTGCATTTTCCATAATGTAAAATAATTTATAATTTAGGAATAATTTGACGTTATTCGTCAAACGTTATTCGTCAAACATTATTCAAATTTTATACAATGTTAAAATATTTAAACTGGGAACGCAATAGTTTTCACCGTTCCCTACGTTTCACATATTTTGCAATCGTCGTCGCTCATCCACACGTCGAGACGCTCCAAAAGGATCGGAATATGAGCAATACGCGCGATAAATGTTAATGGTCGAAAATTAATTGGCAAGTTTTTAACGGGGCAATAAAAATAATGAGCCATGACGGCGGACAGGTAGGCCGGGGGATACGACGCAAAAATCGCGCGATAGACTGGCCGCTCCATTTTCGTCGGGAATGGCCGCATTAAATGTTATGGATGGCCGTACCGAAAGGGGTGAGCGATTTTTCTTCGAGTTAATGCGCCACGGTAAGAGAGGTGCGCCGCGCGAAGAGAGTTATGACTCGCGCAATATCATACCAAAGCGACGTCGCGTCGATGCGTCCGCGAGAAGCGCGATAACAATAAACTTAATAGTGTAATGACACTGCTGGCAGTTAATGAGTGATGATTTCGAGAACCTTAAGTATCTCGCAAGGACTCGAGCGTTAGCGACAAGTGTATCGAACAAAATGACTTGTCACTTTAATAAATAATATTTCAATCCAAATTCAATTCTAAACATTTTGTAAAACATTGTTAAATGTTACGTTATCATGTTGCTTTAAATAAATAGATATATAAAATATTGTAGAACTAATTATAAAAGCAAAATAATGAATAATTATTACGGTAAAATATTGAAAATTAAGATACCTATTAATTTCGGCGAATTTGTTATTTGAGAAAATTTAACTTTTTGATGATAGCGCCCATATTTTATGAAGTATTTTCTAACAATAAAGTCAAAGTTGCGAGATTAATTTCAGCGACACAGAGGAGTAATCGTGCGTTGATACACCAACGTGAAATGTCAATTACGCGAGTGTAGACTGATGAGCTTTCGCGAGCCAAGAGAATGACGTGAATTTATATCACGAAATTTTCGGAGAAATTAATGTGATCGAATTTAGAGTTAATACCACTGAAATGTAACCTGCATAATTATACTTTAACACTTTGAATACTGACGGAATAAATCGCTGTCTTGCCACTGCATAAAAAGATTTTATTTTAATGGATATTATTGATCAAAATTAAAATGTTAAAATAGCTTAACTAAAATTCGTGCAAAATGTGCAGATATGCAAAACCGATATCGTAAAATATGCAGATTTAACTGCACATTTGATTGCAAAAAATTATTTGTTGCTTAATATTAGAGATAATTCTGCATCGTGCATTCTTTCCTATTCGCGTTATTTTTATTATGTGTAATTAAAAAAAGAAATGTCACTTATTGGAGTAATACGAAAGTCAACAATGAAATGTGAAGTATTCGATGCGTGACATCTAATATACGATTCATAATTTATTTAAACAAAAGGAAAATATTTAATGATTCACGTAACAGTAACGATGCAACACACGATGCGTTGCATCGAGACTTTCGGAGCCAATTAATTTTTATCGGCAAAACGAGCGTAATTAAGACGCTCGTAAAGTTTACACGGATATTACAAACTGTACGATCGATTGCGAAAGGATTTCATGAAAATTTCAGAAAGCAAATCTGCAGCAATAGCTCACGTTCATACGAAGAAACTGTGCTCATGCGATAATTTATAATAATTTTGATTCGAAATAAAAATAGATGTAAATATAGTCGCTTATAAGTTTCACACAAACGAAAATCATATCGTACAGTTCTTCGAAAAGTTAAATATATTTATAATAAATTATTAGCGAATGTTTCCATGTTAATTTAATATAAACTTATCAATCAAAGATACATTGGAAAAACAGAATAAACATATTGGAGCATCGAATGCTTCCGTACAAAAGCTATTAAAAAACGAGAGAGAGAAGAACTGATAATAACCTTTTTCCTGAAAAAGAAAATTTGGGAAAACTACCTGAAATATTTGCTTTTGGTATTTAAGCTCATGAACAAAACGAATAATGTTGTTTTAGGTACAAAATCATCGTTTCTCACATTTTTACACTTAACAATGCGTTTTTAACGAGACCGTTATAAATTTCCACCTTCGAATAATCCTCCGAATAATCTTATTTTGCTACCGGCATTACTTTCACCTTCTTTAGGTCACTTCCAAATTCGTTACACTCATTGTTAGAAAGGTCTACTCCGGAATCCCGTTTGAGTTTGACCATTGACTCCAAAGAGACTCACCGTGTTGATGCAACTTGCCTCCTCCGACGGCTTGCTGCTGTGAATGTTTATGATGATGTGGTTGTTGTTGCTGTTGCTGCTGCTGCTGTTGTTGCTGTTGTTGTTGTTGTTGTTGTTGCTGCTGCTGCTGACGTGAATCCCGTGCCATGATCGCAGCGATGCTGAAGTCGGTTGCGCATTGACGGTTCGAGTTACAGTTGTTGTTGAGATTGTTCAGGAGGCTGCTGTTCGGCGACGGACTCGAGCTCTCGTCGCCGTCATCGCCGGCGCACCCGGACAGCCCGGTGGGTACCGCGGGGGCGGCGGTGCCCTCGCCCTGCATCTTTCTGCCCAGGTAGAGGTGATGTCGGGATTCCTCGTCGTCCTCCTCGCTGCCGGCACCTCCGGCACCACCGCCACCGCCGCCGCCACCGCCGCCACCGTCGCCGAACGAGGTCAGTGTCAGTCCGTTTCTCTTCCTACCGGTGAGGCCTCGCGACTCCAGCAACATCACCTCGCGCGCTGCTTCCTGGGCCACGTGGGGTCTATCGACAAACTAGTCGAGGCGCGTCTCGAGGCGGATTCGCTTGACGTCGCGACGTCGCTACGGGCCTCGCGCGTCACGACGATGCCAATGATCGCGACGCTGATGATCGCTGTCCGGAAGACGGTGAGCGTTTCTATCCTCGATACGCGAACACCGCTGAAGCGGCATCAGCATCCTCTCCTCCGAACACGCAAATCAGCTTCGATTTCCCGCTGTCGACATGCGCGCGTATACGCGTGCGAGGAGGTGACAGCGCGCGTGTACGCACGTGCGCGTGGAGGTATAGAAACCTGAGCGGAATCGAGCACGGATTGGTCGGTCACGATCGCCGTGTTCGTTGCGCGGCCAATGGAGTACGGGTAAACGTTGAAACTGATCAGGATCCTTATCGGAGCGGCGATAAGAATCAAAGCACACACTAAAACTACGTCAGACAGCTAACCGTGTCGTTTAGCGATTAGGGATAAGCGAATGTGATCCAGAGTAATCGACGCCGGCGAATGATGACTGAAGGAGCACTCCATCAATAGTGCGCGACTCGAGGAAAAGTTACGTCGTCACGGGGACACCAATCGTTTCTCTTACGCGCGTGCGAAAAAGCGGAGCCGCTTGATGTATCGTTTACACTCCAGGCCGCGCGAGCGAAACGTGGCGCGGACAGAGCAGGGAACGACAGACCGACCGGTTGCCCGACAGACTGACCCGCGCCACCGCCGGTCGCCTCTTCGTTTCGACCCCCATCCCCGCCAAACCCGATCGAGCTCGGTCGGACTGAGGCCGAAGGGACGGTAAAACATAAGCGGGAACGAGAGGAGAGAATACCCGGCGGGTGTCGATGGGCGGTTCCTTGGCACGCTCCTCCTCTGCGATCAGCACCCAGCTCCGCCTGCAGGCTCTCCCCCACGAAACCAACCTCGAGGTTCGCCTAAACGTTATTACCGCGTCGTTCTTCCTCTCCTTTCTACTCGTCCCTTCTCTTTCTCTCGCGCCCATGTCAGACCGAAACTGCCAACCGGGAGCCGACGATACATACAAACACGCACGAGCGTCCACAGGAGGAGTCTCTCGGTCAGCCGGTGGTGGTCGTCGCCGCCGTCGTCCTCGTCGTCGTCTTCGTCATCATCGTAGTCGTCATCGTAGTCGTCGCTGCTCACCCAGGTCGTCTCTCCTCGTCCCACGTCGCTTTTTTCCACACTCTCTGTCTTTTCCCACTCCTCCCTCCCTCTCTCTCTCTCTTTCTCTCTCTTTCTCTCTTTCTCGCGTCCTTGTCCCATCTTCCTCACGCTTCTTCCTTTCGCCCTCTCCTCTTCCCGCCCCTCCAAAGCGTGGCAACCCGCCCCGCCCGTCGCGCTCGCACGCTCGACGTCCACACGTACAGAACGAGGTAGGGTGGCGGTATTATGGTCTCGTACGCGCCATCCAGCCACGGCAGCTGCCATTTTTTCTTACGAGAGGGGGGCAATTGCTGACAGGGACCGCTTTCCTCCGCGCTAGTATGCCGCGACTCTCGCCTCTCTTTCTCTCTCTCTCTGTCTCTCATCTTCTCTGCCGCTCTCTCTTTTTCCCTCTCTCGCACTCCGCCGCTCTCTCGAGCGCAATTTATTGTTTTACTGGCGGAGCTTTAAACACGACCGAACGACGGTGGCGGCGGCTTCAGCGTCAGCGTCAGCGTCAGCGGCGGCCGCGGCTAACGCAGGTGGGTGGTTAGCTCGCTGCTGGCTAGCTGACTGGCTGGGCGGTGGATAGGCGGGTGGGTGGCAGTTGCTCTGGTGGCTCGTCTCGGCTGGGCTCGTCGAATGGGGGCGTGGGAGTATATCGTCGTACACTTCTCTGGGAAATCCCGTCAACGTCTACTACCGCGGCTATGCCACACTTCGCCGATCGTGCTCTTATTATTTCCCATCCCGGTCTCCCACCGCGTATTCTCTATCTTTCGAATCTCGTTCGGTATGATCGGTGTCTTTCAACATTTGCGGATATGCTCGCAAAAGTACGTTGCACCTCACCGATCTCACAGCGATTAAAACAGTCGATTTCCACCAATCGCTCAATCGTCTTTGTCTTCGTAGGATAGCATGCTCCTTAACACGGGTCACGATATAGTCTTGTGTAGAGAGAATGTTTCTACATATTTTATGTTTATATCTCCATCTATCATTATAATCTTTTTATAAGAAAATCTTCACAATTTTTATAACCTTTGTAGAAGTATATATTTATAATATATTTATGAGCTATATTTATAAAAAAAGACAGGATAAAAGTAGAAGCAATTATATTATAATTATAATAAAATGTAATTTCATCTTTATATTATTTAAAAAATATATATAAATGTTATGATTCTAGCATAATACAACCTATAAATGCGTTGAGCTCGATTTAAGTTGAAGACCTGGAAATTCGCTCAAGCATTCATTCTTGATTCTTAACATCGTTATTTGCCGTTATTTCTTAAGAAGCGAAAAGTGAGGTACGCGAAATAAGAAGACCCGAATTAAGATCTTCGCTAATCGTTAAGCCGCATCAATCGCAATCCGGTAGGATCACGGAGAGCTTCGCATCTTCGTTTACGTCCGTATCCACGGAGGACCCTCGAAATCTCCTTTTATCCCTCCCCTTCACGATTCGGCGCGCTATTAACGTCGTTATTGCCATTTGTCGAGGAACCGGCAAGTACGCGTGCGCCAGCAGCTGCAATACCGAACTGCTTTTTCCGCTGGGCGATTCTCCGACAGAAGTATTACGGTAGAAATAACGTTATCCTCGGCCGGAACGAGCGTCGAAGATGAATGGGGGTTGGAGCCCGCTTACCCTGCATCGCCGGCGCTTTTCCTCTGCCCCTCATCCCTTCACCTACACCCCCGGGATATTATTTCGTCGAATATCTCGCGAGTCGTTTCGAACGCAGCATTTCGCTGGAGATAAGTCTTGGCTTTAACCGTTCCGTATCCCCGTAAAAAAAAACCTCGAAATCATTAAATCTCGCGCACGAAGCAAGGCAGTTATATTTTTCTATTACGATTAAATCGTCAATTATAATTGGATTGAATTTCAAGAAGAAAATAGTAGAACACGTATAGCGTATTAAATTTTGCAAGATATATTTCGAATTAATAATTTTTAATAAAACGTTGCGAAAGAATAAAAAATTACCATTGCAATTAAGAAAATTGTCTATATCCTTTAACTCTCGTATACGAAATCTCATGAAGCATGCGTGTCACGTTTTCCCGAACGAAATCTTCAAATTATCGGTTGCAATTAAAAGAATTGATGCCGTCGGTAATATTTCTCGCGGCCAAGCGCGGCGGTGCGAAAACGCAAAATTACCACTGCAACTGCGCAAAATAATTAACGTCGCGCTAAGGCGGTACGAGGCGGTTAACGAAGAGAAGCGGCGCGCTCGAAAATAAGAAGGTATTCGGCGCGCAGGCGGAGGCATATTACCCCGGATATTATTATAATAAAGCAGGAAATTACCTCGTGTGATAAATGCGCGGGTAGCGATGCGGCCTCGTAAATTATATCATCAGCGGATTATCGTAATTACACAGCGCGGCATATCGCGAGTGAAACAACGCGCAATGCCGTCGTGTTGTTGCCGCTGCGGGGGAGAGGGGGGAGAGGGAGAGAAAGAGAGAGAGAGAGAGAGAGAGAGAGAGAAGTCTGAAAATCTCGCGATTCGCGCGGTGCGTTCTGCTATTATCCCGCGGGTGGTAAACGTAATCGTTCGCGCACAAATTGCGAGCCGTGCGAAACAGTTAATCGAGGCGTGACGCGATTCGGCGGCCCGATATATTTATGCGCGATCGGATATCGATCCTGCTTTTATCTCAGCGACCGGAAGCGACCGACGCGCTCTCGGTTATCGTGTTATCGGTCCCGACTTTCGACGAGACTGCGCTCAATTCGCGCGCAGTCGCGTCTGCAGCTCGATCGAGTTAATTTAATTAATCGATCTGGCGCGCCGTCAAAGACTCGAAGAGTCGGGATCGCTAATTGCGGCGCACAAAAGCGCGAGAATAAAACACCTAAAAATTCCCGCTGGTGCGACCTGTCGACTATAATTTTCTATGTTAAGTATCTTGACAATTAAACCATAAATAAAATCTCTATTAATATGACAAATAAAAATTAATTAAAATACAAGATTTTATTATGTTTATCTACATCCTCGAATTAATTTGCCAAATTTCTTTAATTCTGAATATCGAATGAATTATAGCGAACGCTTGTTTCTCTTAGATTGATGAGTATGAGAGGAATTGATGCGCGAAAGGCGGCTTTAATTAGCGAAATAAAAATCTTGTTGAGTTTAATAAGCATCGAGGCCACGTGTCTTGTTTCCTTAACGAAGTCGCCCGATGTAATTATTGCCAAGCTGCGGCGAAGAATAGTGATTCTCTATTCGCAATTAGCATAGTACGCAACACGTGCGGGGGCAAACCGGCGCGACCGAAACCCGCCGCACTGATTCCGCGATCCGATCTTCGCGAACACCAGTAATTAGACATGCCTGCGAAAGGCGACGCGCAACGCACGACCGGTGTCAATTAGCGATGGTCTAACGACGTGAGCGGTTAACTAATTATGTGCGCGGTATGCACTTTTATGTCCGCCGAACGATCAAGATCGAATCAGAGACCTTAATTAATCATATGCTTTTTCAGCCTTTCGTGACGTGACTACTGTATTCCCACATCAACAATTAACGCCTTATGGTTTGAAGTTACCATTCCTCCCTTCCCCTGAATCTGACAAACAGAAAATGCATTTAAAAAAAACATAAGAAATACTCCGTACAACTGTCAATGATAATGATTTTTCAATCGCAAACTCCAGAT